GGAGGGGGCTGTTCTGTGCCCATCGGACTTGTCCCCAGCCTCAGGTGCTAGTGGCCTCTTCCTGCAGCCAGCCCAGGCTTGGAGCCTGGGTCTCCTCCTGCACAGCCAAGCCTGTGTGGTGGCCCCTGCCCTCCCTCACTGGGTACTGGCACCTCCTTCCTAGGCTGAGTGGTCTCTGGGGAAGGCACAGGTGGATGACGGGCAGATTTAAATCCTTGCCCTCTGCCCTCTTTGAATAGGGCCTTTCATCCGGGAGCCTTTCTCCTCCTCTGCCCTTGCCTCTCTCATACCTGCCTCCCTCTGTGTTTGTCCCTTTCCTGGCAGCAGCTCCCTTCCTCCCCTTTCGTCTCCTGCCCTTCTGGCTGGGCTGTTTCTCTTCTGGCTTCTCCAGGTGTTCCTCTTTTCTCGGTCACTGTGGGGTCTGCCCAGGGACTCCCTCGGCCCGGGCTGCCTCTTTTCCTACCCAGCCCCCTGTCCGAGTGTGCCAGGTGTGCCTGGCCATGCTCTGCTCACCCCCGCGCTCTCCCTGCAGTGATCCCCAGCGCCGCGACCCTCATCATTGTGGTGTGCGTGGGCTTCCTGGTGCTCATGGTCGTCCTGGGCCTGGTGCGCATCCACTCCCTTCACCGCCGCGTCTCAGGGGCCAGCGGGCCTCCAGGGACCTCCAGTGACCCCAAGGACCCGGACCTCTTCTGGGATGACTCAGCTCTCACCATTATCGTGAACCCCATGGAGGTGAGAGGCCCGGGGAATGGGGGTACTGTACGGTCAAGGCTGCGGAGCACACACGGCGAGGACTCCTGAGGAGGGGTAGGCCCTGGGTGGAGGCTGTTTGCAGAGCTGCCATGAGCAGGAGGGAAAAGAGAGGTTCAGGAAGGGAAGAGGGTGAGCAGGGGTTAAAGGGACTGAGGGAAGTGTGGCCCCTGAAAGAGAGGTTGGGGTGTGTGCAGGTCACTGATCCCTTTTCCTCTCTGTTCCCACCCTCCAGTCCTACCAGAATCGGCAGGCCTGTGTGGCGGGGGCTGCTGGGGGCCAGCAGGAGGACGAGGACAGCAGTGACTCGGAGGCGGCTGACTCCCCCAGCAGTGACGAGAGACGCATCATCGAGACCCCCCCACACCGCTACTAAGGAGACACCTCTCCCCATGCTGAGGGAGAGTTCTGCCCTGGTGAAACACACTCCAGACATGGGAGAAGGACCTTCTGGGAGAACAGAGACCGAGAGGGAGAGAGGCTTCAGAACCAGTCCTCCTTTCATCTCAGAACCCCAGGGGGCCCTCTGGAGTCCGCCCAGCCACTCCTCGGGCCCCTATTCCTGGCCTCTGGGCTGTGTCATGCTCCTGGTGTGCCCCTGGCACCGGGGCTGGCTACATTGGAAAGTGGGCTGGACTTCGGCTGCCTTTCTAGCCCCAATGGCAGCTGCCTCCTTAGCACTCACTGTGTTGGGGAGGGGGTGACGGTCACAATGGCTGGGGCTGGGGCTGGGGCTGGGGTGGGGTTGAAGGAAACCCTCTCCTCTCCCTTCCCTTCTCTCTCCTGTCCATGGGAAGCCTCTCTCCCTCTGCAGGGCTCCCTCAGCTGGGCCGTCCCTGCTTCTCTTATGATCCCCCCACCTCGTTTCCATTTCAGTTTGGGGACCCTGCTTCTGCCTCCTTTCCAACTTCCTTCCTTTCTTGTCCTCTTTCCCCTCCTGCCCTTGCAGTCCTGAGGTCCTGCAGCCCTGGCCCCTCCTCTGTGACCCAGTGTAGGCAGGTTTCGGGGACGGGAGGGAGTCTGAGGGCCCCGGGGGGAATTATATATAATGTATATTTTTTCAATGTTGTCGTGAGTGCAGCCCCTGTGTTCCCGTGTGCAGCTCACGGCCCCGTGTGTGTGTGTGTGTGTGTGTGTGTGTATGTGTGTGTGTGTGTGTGTGTGTGTGTGTGTGTGTGTGGCATTGTCATGTCCTGGGGCAGGGGGCGGGGAGATGGGTGTGGTGAGGGAGGGGACATATCCTAGGGTTTTCAAATAAAACAATCAGAAAAAAAAAATCTCAGTGAGGCTACTCCTGTCTGCCTGGTCCTGTGTTGGTGTGGGTGGAGGTTGTGGGGCCTCAGGGGCTGTTTGGGTCTCTGCTCAGGGCTGAGGTGAGGTAGGCAGGGCTGATGAGCTCGGGGTCCTGACCAACTAAGTCTCCAGGACACCAGGTCACCTGTAAAGTAAACTGGGGCAGATGGCTCCCATGCTTCCTTCCCTCAGTACCCCCTGGAAAAATATAGAAGATTCAGGGAACGCCATGGACACCCGGGCAGGTGCTCAGTGTCTTGTAGGGCCACCACCAACCCCACCCCACCACTTGGAACATTTTGCCTGTGTACACAGACTACCTGTGTACACAGGGACTGCCCGCGTACAGGGACTGCCCGCGTACACGGACTGCCTGCCCGGCATCCCCAGGGAGAAGGCAGGCAACCCTGCTATTTGTACCAAAGCGATCTGGAGAATGTTCCTAGGCTGAGCCTTCCCTGCTGGCCAAGGCTCAGCTCTCAGACCCAGGGGATGTCTGCCTGCCTTCCCCATGTCCTCGTGGCTGCCTCACGTGGCTGCTGAGTGGCCTGTACCCTCTCCACGCTGGCCCAGCCCCTGGCCTGACAGCAGGCAGAGTTTGGCCCTTCCACAGCCTTTTGGGCCACTGGTTAGTTCTCTGACCTAGGTCTTACTTAAGCCCCAGGTGGTAAAGGACAGTAAGCAGAAGAAATTATTTCAGAAGAGTGAATTGCTGGTGGGAGCATCCTTCCGGTGCTGTCCTGGCTGGGAAAAATACCAGGGATCCAAGTCTTGGTTCCTTCCTGCAGCATGAGAGGTTAGGGCATCCTTAGGCTCTCCCTGCTTCTCTGTGGTTGCCTGTAGCACAGTTGGGGTGGAGGTGGGTTCTCTGCCTGATGTCCGTTCTGACACCTACCAGCTTCCATTGTCCTTGCCCATGGTGGCAAACTCCCAGCTGTGTATTGATGCCTTCATATTTTTATCGCCCACCTAGATCTCTTTCCTACTTCATATTTACAGCTACTTATTGGTGTAGCCACCTGCCCTTCCTGTGACTCAGACTCCACCTTTCCCCAAATTCTCTGTGACCTATCCCTATCACCTTTCACCCATTCACCTATGCCAGAAATCTGGGAGTCAGTTTAGATTCCTCCCTCTTCCTCAACCCCATGGCCAAATGGTGATGAAATTCTGTCATTCCTACTCCTTAAAATCTCTCCAATAGGTCTTTTGCTTTCTATTCCTCCTACTGCTGCCACCACCTTGACCCGCACCCTCTATGATTTTGCCTGGTCTGTGGCAAGAGCCTCCCACCTGCCTCCCACCTGCCTCCCACCTGCCCTCATCTCCTG